GTAAGCTTCCTGGTCTTCATTCTTCACCAAGTTGGGCAGCTTGTCGCTATAAGCTCACACGAGCTTCACGTCGAGCGGGAAGTGCGCGTTGTCGAATCACGAAGCCATCGGCAGCTGAAGATTCGGCCAGCGCCACGTTGGACTCAAGAATTGTCGTTTTTTAGTGGCCGCAAACGTACGGGTGCCAATTTTCTCGAGTAAATAACGGTTTAATTTCGAGTAAGGACCTTTTTCGGCGAATCTTCAAGTAAACATGTCCAATGTGGATTTCGTTTATGCTAGTAAATATATATCGAGTAAACTAAGAACGTGGGAATACCGTTAGCTCGCCGCAAAAAATCGCGTGTTATTCGACAGTGGAAACCCAGTGTCTGATAATGACGGGCCATACTGCCCAATTATGCTATCAACTGGAATGTTGGGACCGAGCGACACCGTGCTCAACAAATAAAGCGTGCAGTAGCGTCGGCACGACGGCTAAGCCAACAAGAGAATATGGTGGCAATAGCAGTGGCATGCTTCAGAAGCGCTGTACCGCGCCATCTTGATGGTACGACTTCGACAGAATGGTTTCGCCCCAAAGCTGCATAGCGAAAAAGGAAGCGTCCTGAGAGCAGTGCGTTTTAGTCAAGTAGTTAAACATTTCCCCGGCTCTCCAATCAATTCACGTTTTCAACTTACCTTCATGAGCTCAAGCCTCCTCCACCGAACGTCGGTATTTGCCCCCGCCAATTTCCAAAAATGTATACCATATTTAAGCGTCAATTAAATGTCGAGAGCTAGCATCCGAGCAGGACGACAACTCTCTGCTACTCAAACCTCTGCCCTTCTAAACTAAAATAGATCGTTTCATCTTAGTGATCAATTATTGCAGTACCGAAATGGTTCATAAATATTTCAAAACAAATCGGCTCAATAAAAAGGCCTGGGTCAGTCCACAGTTTCGACCACGTCCTTGAAAAATACATCCTGCAGCACGATTAATGCATATGTACATTAATTATTTACAATATTCAATTGCATAATGTATGGGAGGTAAAATTTACTTTTTGTAAATAAAGGTCATCACAAATGTGGTGCATGGACGGGTTTCTCAGACTCAAGTAGAATGCATGGGAGCCTTGAAATTTGAACTGCGATTAATGCCATCATCGGGAGCAGGGATTGGTAGTCGTTTCGAAAATATGACTCTTAAGTTATATTAATACTACTACTATTTACAAAGTAGTCACATGAATACCGATAAGCTGGTACTCACTATTGGTGGTAGTATCTCTCAAAAGTCAGTACTATAGGCTCTCATTCACGCTGCTACTGGAAACCCAAATTCCAAGTCCTTCGCCGCGACAGACACGACTGTCTATTGAATGGACATTTTAACTACTTTGCGAGCTGGTGGGTGTATTGCTATCTACTGAGTATGAGAAAGCTTGCAACCCCAATTTTCTCAATGTAATTCGCGATGTCTGGACAAGCTGCGGAAAAAATAGCATCGTAGGTGCTTCGGTCGCCTGAATTGCTAGTTTGTGGTGATTTCGGTTTATCGCGGCCCTCGCTTGCGTGAAAATGACGACCACAACGCTCTGGGAATGATCGAGGTCATCGATAGTGCTTTTAAAGCACGCTTTAATCAGTATATTCGGTCAATGACTCGATATACAATGTCCGACACGACTTCAACGACGAAGAACGTGGCTGATCACATTGACACTGAGTAAGGAGGCTGCTCGATGTATCTATTGAGCATGTGCATAGGCTAGGCGATTGGTCTCAAAGACAATATTCAGACTACGACTGTCTGAAGCGAATCTACAGCTTCGTGGGACAAAGTCGGTACTACGGTAGCCCCCGGCGGCGCTCTGGCTGAAGGAGGTGACGTGATTCACAAGCTTCGCAGTCTGAACAACAACTTCAGATCACCCAAACAGCGCAATGCGCTGAAGAAATGTTAGGAGGCCCTCTCATATCCGGAGCTGGAGTCGATGACTGGCCAGGATGTCCGATTTTCCTACACGTGCAAACTTATCCGAAGCCCTGTCGTCAACTACGCCGCTTTCGATGCACATTTTCAATCTACAAAGGACTCCACTGCTGTGTGGAGTGCTCCAAGCGCTTAAAAATGAATGCTCGCAGTCGAAATGGAGGCAGCCACCAATTTCATAGCCAATCTTGCTCTGGTGGAGGTGCAAAGCGAGAGTCTTGTATCGTCGTACATGGTAGTGTTCCGTCGACTTGCAGAGAGCAAATTAAAAACCTTTGAATTTGAGGTCATGACTGTTGAGGCTCCCAGCGCCAAGGATGCATACGAAGCGAGTCATTGTCCGGTCACGAGGACGCGGGACCAGCTCTCGGACGCTGGAAACACATGACTTCTACAAACTCTCCTGCAGCTGCAGGCCCGGTTTCCCAATGTCACCACCGAGTCGATGGCGTGTGTCCTGCTCGATCCCAGGACTAAGTCCAGTGCCAAGACGATTGCAGCCGTCGGTGATATTCCACGATATGAGGAAAAGGCAATGTACAAGAGTGGAGTTGGTTATCTACGGGACGAGCACCGAAAGGTATTGGTCCTGATGACGAAGGAGAGGAGAAATATTTTTCTTTCAGCAGTTGCTGTCTCAGCGTATCCTATTGAGCCAAGATTCGTCTCCTTTTTCCGCAACGGATGACGCTGACGAACTGCTACTGGGGGCACCCATTCGAGCTACAAAAACAAGAGATGAGCTAAAAGAGACCACGATCAACGCCAGAGCCGATGCTCTTATGAGACTGGCTTGATTTCAAGCCAGAATGGCTCACCCAACGCCAGAACCCCAACATCAAGATTGGAGAGCTGTCCAAGGCCATGTCGATTAATGCTCAGAGCGGGATGCATTACGCACGGTTGGGCCTGTACAAACATATATATGTGCTCGAGTGGTTTCGAGATGAAGACGAAGCTCAGTTTCCCTCTATCGCGCTACTAGCGCGTATCCATCTCGGCAAAATATCGTCATCAGCGTTTCAAGATAGGGTGTTTTCAACTAGAGGGATAGTTATGGGGCCTCTTAGGACAAGGACGGATATCAGTGGATGGCGGAGAGGCAGCTTCTGCTGCGGCACAACATGGATGGAATAATGAAGATGAAGGCAAGTCGAAAAAACTCGAAAAGACAGAAATAGTAGCTGAAATAGTATACAAATATGACCTCTACTACTACCACTGTGTAGAAGCTCTACTACAATGCAGTGGAGCAAAGCCATTCGACATGAGCTGTATTACCGGGAATTTCCCGGTAATACTACTACAGACAACGACGGAGAAATCCGACACCACTGAATAGCATCCAGCCATAGTAAAAGAAAAAAACACAGAGCCCGACACAAAAATCCGACGCTTCATTTGATAGGCTAATAACGCACTCCAAAAAACAAAAACAGCACCGTAAAAACATGTGAATGAAATAAAAGGGGATTATATTCAGACGATTACTTCCGGATATGTACCTCGGGATAGCCTTTTCGAAGCTACGAATTATCGTTTTCTTCTCTAGCTTTTCCCAAGCAGCAATAGTAGACATTATAGTACGGATGCGCTTTTCCTTAGCGGTTCCACCAGTGCGTCTACCACAACAGTTCCGTATTTTTAATGTAAGAAAGCTAGCTCAACACCACAATAGCACAAAAAGTACATTCACATTGACTTACTTGCTCAAGTCTGCGCATATCCTTCATGTATGTTTAAAGGTCAGAGACGCCAGGAAAAATTTCCTTGCGTCCCTGACCTTTTAACGTCTTTGACGTATGGTGTGTCTTGCAATATTAAATTTTTCGGAGGCGGTCTTAACGCCCCCACATTTAGCGATTCTCAAGGCCTCGCGCTTTTGCTTCATTGTGAAGCTTCGCTCAACGCGGTTCATCGGGCAAAATGACTTGATATTTACCGACGCCCAAGAAGTGTTTTATCTCCAGCCATTCATCATTTTTTTGTAAGTAATTGGATTAAAAACTTCTCGTATAAAGATATGATTGGGTAAAAATACAAAATTAGTTACTATGGGAAAGAGGTGTGCTCACAATCACTAGTCGGATTTTTGTGTCTGTCGGATTTCTCCGTCGTTGTCTGTACTTCCTTTTTTACGCTACTACCAATGGACAAACGTTAGAGCTGACACATCATTTTTGAAGAGCATCCGAGATTATAGACATAATCTTATTGTGCATTTCAATGCGTTTGTCCTTTTCACTTAGCCTGATCCTCGATTTATAGTACATGAGATCGATTTTATTAACAGGGCTCTAGTCAAGGGCCTCCGTTGCGTAGTCTAGCGATAATATCCTGCTTGTCGAGTAGAAAAATTAGCACCGTTGTGGAATCTAGACTCTAGACTCCACAATTAGGAAAATAAGGCATTTATCTATATCCCTGAAACCCAAACCCAAAACGTGGAGGCTAAACCTTAAGCCCGCTACGACCGGCATGCGGGCCTCGCTTGATAGTGATGGCCATTATCGGTCCTGGGTTTGCACCCGCGTGCTACGCACACGGTCTACAAACCGCAGGCATGCTCGCTGCGGTACCCTACGCGCTTCGCACGGGGTCAAGTGTGGCCATAGTCCTTCTTGCAATAAACTTCCCGAAAAACATCCAACATTTACTCGAAACTATATATTTAAAATATTTAAATTTTCCGCAACGTACACGTCCTTGTCCTGCTTGGAAGACGGAGAGCATGTCAGTGTTACGCTTCAGCTGCGACGCGTGGATGACACCTCGACGAAGTACAACACTGTCGTGTCCTTGGACTCGTGTGCGATGTTACAAATATTGGTGTGTGTTTGTTGTGGCCAACTCGGAGGTGATTACACTCTCACGATGCAAAGAGCTCGCTGTAACAACAACGGTTGTTGTCTTTTCTGGTACAGCTCGATCGATCAACCACCAAAAGAGCATGTATTGATTGGCGACCGTTACGCCATTAAAACCTGCTCTTATAAAAATTAAAGCAAAACCATTGAGCTCAAGCGACGAGAAAATAATCACGGGTTGCCCCCTGGAACGTGCACTCGGCGTGAATGAAGTTCCCGGGACGACGAGGAAGCCGTCGCGGTTGAAGGCAGCGAGCTGATCCTTTGCCACGTTTGGCAGCCCGTTTCTGACCTCCCGAGCGACACTTCTTCTTTTTAGACTTTTCATCTTGGTATTTCAGATTGTGACCGGGAGGGCAGGCAAGCCCACGGCGCGCCGTCTGTTTTAACTCATGGTCTGGCATCGCTCTTGTTAGAGCCTCCTGTAGCGTTTCGGCCTCAGTGCCTTTATCACGACGTTCCAGATCACCGTCTACAAGTGCCATGGGATCCCATTGAGACGCCACAATACTCGCGAGACATTGAGCCACATCTTCAGTTAAAAAGGGATACGTCTCCCAACACAGCGAGCGAAAACAAAGCGTGTAAACGTTCGTATCTTTTGCTTGCGCTCCAGTCTGGAGTCCAGGAGGGCTGTTGTCCTCATTCAACGACGTGGTATAGATGAACCGCCAGGAATTGTTCCGCGACTTTCCATCGAAAGGTACTTTTTCGCGCAAATTCATGTAAATGCGAAGAACATTTTCAACTGGCGTCTTGATCAAGGGGTTTTCATTCACCGTGCCTTTCTTCTGCGCTGGATCTGCAGCCAAATCCTCATTAGGTTTCTTGCCTTTCGGATACGGACTTTCAAACACGAACCAATGAGACAGCTTCTTCGATGCTGCTTGGGAGAAACCATCGTCTTTTGGTATATGGCTTTTCACCTGAATGAGCATGAATGACACTCGCTCCTTCTCGCCATCTTTGTTCCAAAATACTGGGATCATCAGATCTGCTTCAAGCTGGTTGCGCGGGAAAGTACCCGCAGCCCGACGCCCAAGTAAATACCACAGCGTATCTTCATTCGGTTCAGCTTGCAACTGTATGAAGTGAGTGAACCCCACGCGCCAGTACTTCCAACCTGACTTCCACGTGTTAAACTTTTCTTTTTCTCCAAAGAACATTCCCTTGCGATAGATTTCGATTTTATCGCACCCCATCACGTTCAAAAACGACTCCACCGACACAAATTGGCCTTTTGGCTTGCTTCGATCCCCCATCACACACTGGTCCATCGCGAGAAGGAGCAAAATGCGAGCGACCATTTCACAAATCCCACCTGTCTCCAGTGCTTCGTCCAGGATCAACTTATTCAGCTGCGGAAGGATATACGTCGACAAGCCTTCCTTCAGGGCATACCACACTTTAACCGCACCCAGCGCAAGCACCGGATCCGACGCGTAGCTACTCAAGTAGCCCTCTCTCTCGAATGTCACGTAGGCGAGGACAGCCATGAAGTCCGCGACAACCTGCGACGCCAACGTCGACGTTGAGTATGGACGTACACCCAGTCGACAGAGCATCGCCGCAACACCAAACATGGTCTTCTCGTTGTATGAGGCTTCTTGCTTAAAATCGTTTCCCAGTAGCAGCTTATTTGCTGCTAGGGTGACTAGATCACCAGAAGAAGCTTGTGGCTTTCCATTTCGATCGGTGAAAATGCTCCACCACATTGGGCGGCCCATGCGCAGCAACGCATTCCAAGCATCGTTCTCGCTCCCGGTCACAATCGCCTTGTACGACTGTATTTCCATCCTAAGCTTTGCCTCCTCACTTAGATTTTCCAGCTGTCCACCTCCACTGCGCTTTAAGTACTGATGCCAGTGTTCATCCATAGTGTGAGTCAGCACAAAAGGAGGGAACGTCTCCAGTCCAGTGCTGTTTTTGTAATTTCGAGAAGACGGGTCGGATGCTAGCGATGGAGTTAAGTCCGAGATCTTGGAGTTCGTATCGACCAACACCGCGAAAATGCCTCCTTCTGCTCCGATTCTGTTGTTGACCAAAGCAAGCGCTCGTCGAAATAGACGAAAATCATTGACTTTGACTGTTAACGCGCCTGGGTCCGCCTTCTCATTAAGTAGGGATCTAGCTTCGTCAACCACCAGCACCACCATCTTGCCGTCCTGTTTCTTCTTTACTAAAGAGTCATCGATTTTCTTCTTTTTGACCTTCTTATCGTTTTCTGCTTGCTGAAATAGGTTGTTTCGAACAGACTCATCACTTTCCTTCTCGTTAAACAGCTTGATCCACTCACGTTGAACTTCTTCCCAATTCTTTATCGCATAGTTGTAGATGGCTTCCAAACGAGAAGCAATCTGCTCGACAGAAGAAGACTCTGGGATTAGCCAGTAGCGGAGATTTTTGGTTGCCTCTGGATACCCCGTCGATCCGTGTAAGCGAGCGCACGTATACAGGACTTTTATCTGAGAGCCCTGATCCTTTGCCTTGAGCGCCAACTCGAACAGCATCCGACTCTTCCCGAAGCCCGAGCTCTGAACGACCGTCACGTACAGGGCCCTGAACATATCAGAGTCATAAACCTTCCAGCAGCGCCAGAGGTAGTCTGCAAACTCTTCGTGCGCATTGCCGTGGTATTGTGTCTCGGAAAACGCGAGCTTGAGCTGTTGCATGAGCCCTTGGGACAAAACTGGGGGAGAAGCCGAGTCCTTTTCCCCAAACTCATCTATCCAGGCATTCACCGCAGCTGCCGCTACACTCCTGGCAAGGTCGCCGCTTATGATATCGCTTCCGTAGACACCGGGGATTGCTCCGTATAAAATTGCACATACGATGTCTTTGTTCGCTTGAAGTTTTTTCGGAGTAGCAAACCCCTTAAAACTGTGCGAATAGGCGACGACCAAAACTTTCTCCCCGGCCTGAAGTTTGTTGATCACACCCATTTCTGACAAGAAAGTGTAGATGAGATTGTTCATGAACGCGGCCACCGCGTCGGGATTCAACTGGTTCGTAAACGCAGCATAACGTACAGCAATGTAAGCACACGGGGTAAGGGGCAGGAGGTTCTACAGCGCACGTACCCGTGGTGGGCTTTTGAGTCCGCTCTCTGCGTTCTCCATCGGGACGTCAAGACTCGACACGACAGAAAACGAAACTATTATATCTTAAACATCTACTGCAGCAACCTGTCTGTCCGTCACACTAAATTGTCGTGCCTGTCACGCTTTTCCGGACAAATCATTGGATAAAATAATTTAAATATTCCTACTGGCTGCCGAGCGCAGCGAAGGTGGCTTCAATTGGTTAAAACTAGAATGTGTAGTTGACATCAATAAATGCATGTGTTTCCCAGTTTACATATGGGGATTTGCACAAAGTCCGAAGGCGGCATCGTTTAAATATTAAATACTTTTTCATAATGCATGTTGTTATTGATATTTGAATACTACAGTAAACGGAGGGTAGGGTGCTTAGCGTACACGTAAGCATGCGTGTTTCCGAGGACATGGTTTAAGTATACTAAATACTCTGTACTCAGTAGGATCTGTGTGTTACACTGACTAAAATGAAATTTCATTTTTCTTACTGCAAAAATATTAGCATTAATAAGTTATCTGAGTGGGTTTCTGGTATTGCTAAATCGTACATGTTACATGTACAGCAGTAGCCGGTCGTGTAGACTGGCCGTAAGAACAAAACTGTGCTTATAAACGTTGTCACTTGATCCACAAAGATATATAGTGTTAGATTGACGTGTGAACAAAAAGAAGTTATATGTGCTGATGACAATTACTACTGTAAGCGAATTGAACTTGACCATTGTTTCCTTAGCGTTTTTTTAGACAACAAAATTCTGATACTTCTTAATAGGTAGACGCGTTGCCGACAAGGGCGTAAAATAAGGTTTTATATGCAGTGGTAAGATAACAGCACAACATGAGAGGTGTCAATTTTGGTTATTATAAGAAGGCCCGTAAAGAAACGTTAATCAACTTAGAGCCTAATATTTTGGAATCATCAATTAAGTATCAAATAAAAATACCGCCGTCAACAACAACAACAGCAAGGCGTCTTGCGACGCATGGTTATATTCAAAGGCTATAAGCATAACAGGCACAGATTGAGTGTCTAATGACTAATTCTGAATCAGCACAAAATGAACACACTTCAAGGCATAAAAAAATGCTACAGCTTGAATATTTTTATTAAATATTCAAACTGTAACACTTTTAATTTTCTTTCAAAGTAGCGAGTTTGGTTTGCGAAGTGGTTAATAGGCAGTTTATTACAAGCTTAACCAGGCAGTACAAGCGGGTATTTGATGCAAGCTGGACAGATATTCTTTGCATTGATGCAATCTAGGTTTCAGAAACGGCCCGTGAAATCGAGCACGACGCTAAACTAAATATTTTATTTAGCGGTTTTAGACTGAAGT